ATTGTGTACACTTAGCATTATTCAGGACATTAACTCCCTCATTGGGTCTTGACGTGGCATCTTGAATCATAAGCTACGACTTGGTACTTGCCATCGGCGTTAGTGTCAGTAATGTTCTTTTGATAGGGCTTAGGGATCCAGTAGGTCTCTTGAATAATCGAGGATATACTGTTGACCCTTGTTCTAGCCATTAAATAGTTACAAGCTCGACAAAATAGAACTTATAGCTTAATTGAGTCGTAGCGCATTTGAATAAGATATTCGTCTCCCAGTTGCTGTCATTGATGTGACTATTAGTGAACGTGTGCATTCAATGGAAGAAACTTCAAGCGCTAGTTTATAGGATGGGGAAGAGCTTGTAGCTACTTTACCTCAGTATTTGAAAATCCCATGAGCTTCGGTCCTAAGGTCTTATAGATGCCTTGAATAAACGAGGAGTTACAATCGGCCTTCATTCATGGGATAATTTCATCATGATATTCAAAATACAACTTGGCTTTAGCCATCCAAAACTAGTCTTCATATTTGCAAATCATGAACGAGGATGTGGAAAACTTATGGACCACCGAGGCAACATTAATGATTGGAGTCATGGCATCGAGGTTTTGTAGATGCCTTGAACCACTAAGGACTTATAGTTGACCCCTAGCTTTAATCATTCGAAATCCATTAGGTGAAGCTCCAAGGACTTCCATATTATCGAGGCCCTTGCACATTCCTCCGATATACCAGTCCCTCCGTATTCGAGGCAATGACTTGTCTGAATAATTTAAAAGTGATGACTGTCATGACTTGATCGAATTTATTAGATTTGATATGACTGCTTATGTACAAAGATTATGACCTTGGAAATGAATTACATCGGAGGAATACCTTGGAAATGAATTACATCAGATTTGAAAGTGTAAAAAAGAATTGTTGCTTCTAAAGATCATATCCTTATTATATCGGAGGAATACCTTAATACTATCACATACACTTTAACATTTCGGATCCAACCAAGATATCTCGCCTGTTCAGTTGAGAGACCCTTAGTGAGTGGTTGTCAAGGAGGGGTTGTCACGTTTGTCTGGACACGGAAAATGATGCATAGATTGGGCAGGCGCGTAACACATTTTTAGTTTCCAAGATCCTTCTAGGCGAAATACCCGTGTGACTGGATTGGAGGCGTTGGCTGTTGAGGGTAACGTTGATGAGTGGAGATTATTGCAACTGGGATAATTAGAAGGTATTTTGGGGGTGTTTGGTCTAAAATTGTTGGGACCATAAGATTAGTTTAATCCATGGTCGAGATTATTTAAATTTCTTTGTCAAAAGAAAAATGTTATTCATCCCTAGTAGAGATGTATCCCCAATGTATGTGGATGTAAATAATTTGTTAAATGATAGGTGAAATTAAATGACTTATTTAATTTCACCTATCATTTAATGCCACATTAACGCCACATAGACTGGAGATGCATCCTCAATGGGGATGAATAACATTTCTTTTGTCAAAAACATTTGTAGGAAGAGCAGTCCTCATTAAATGGTCCAAAAAAAAGGGGTAAATTAGGAGAGTATCCACTTTTCTAGTTAATTGTCCAAATGGTCATTTTTCCATGTATGGTATCCATTTTACCATTTTTGAAAAATGTTCATTTCAAATATGTGCTCACAATTGCATATTATAATATTAATATTGATGGGTGCACAAATTATGAGACCAAAGCCTAAAGCTATGTAATTATTTAAAATACAAATCAATATTTTTACCACAAAAGAATTTTTTTTTATTTTTTTTCATTTATATTATTGTTTTACCTTCAGGGTGCATCGTATTAGACCGGATAAGTATTAAAATAATTTCATATAATTCTTATCCAACATTGGGTGCAATCAACACCAAATTAGATTAATTTGGAGTGCCTATCCTCCTTTATCAATCGTATTAAAATTAATACGCTACGCGAGGGTGAATTTAGGTCGTATTATTTATTTATCAATTTATGAATTAAGAAAAAAATTATTTAAATTAAATTGCATAAAGTTATTTTCAAGTAAATAAGGACCAAGAATTTCACTTGCTAGTAAAAAATAACTTGAAACTACAGATTCTTTGATAAGTAAAAAGTTCACTTATAAGTGAAAAAATCATTTTCAATTGAAAAACATGTGTATAAGTAAACAAAATTGTTACAAGTACGAGGTCAACATATGTGTTCTTAGTGAGTTAGTTGTCACAATAATCACCAAATTGATTGTCATTTCAATTGCTCACTATACTTTAAAATGTTGAGTTTTGATCGCTAAACTTTCAAAATGTCAGACGTTACTCATTGGAATCACTTTCATTTCGCATTTCTAACGGAATAGCTAAAATGCATACGGATTTTACGGCTAAGACTCCATCACAGTTAAATGTCCAATCACGGAAGATGGACAATCCACGTAAGAAATGCATCCTTGATTGCTCATTATACTTTGACTTACGTATTTAATTGCTTACTATACTTCAAACTGATTGAGTTTTGGCCACCAAACTTCTCAAAATGATGTCGGGATGATATAAAAATATGTGTTTTGTTTATTTTCTATATTTAAGATTGCGTTTTTATGTGTTTAGAAAGTTCTTTCCAAGTTGAATTATATGTCTAGAGTTCAATATTTTGAATGTGTTTTCTCGGTGATAAACTTGTTTATATCTTTGAGTTTCATAAGATACCGAAAGGATAACATATTTTCTTATTGTAGGTGTCATTAATACCGCATGATCTTCTACTCATAGAATAAAATAAAATATTTAAAAATAGTAACGTTTCAAATAATTATGTCTAGACGAAATCACATTAAGAGAGTGTTTGGTGTGGATTAGAATTAGATTTTTAGTGGATTGTAATATAAGTTTTTGAAATGTGTGGTTGAAAAGATGTGAAACTCATAAAAGAAGTAGTTAATATTGATTGTTTGACTTTGACTTAAATTAAAATCAGATTTTAATCCGACTCAAACATGCCTTAAGTAAAATCGAATCAAATTATAGTTGCCAATTAAATAAAAAATAAGTAAAATTACCAATAAGGAATGGTGATTGACTTTGGTTTGATTGAGTCCTTTTTTACATTCTATCAGCGAAATAATTCAATAAAATGTTTATCCTAGAAAAAATTTTCTAAACACGTAATATTACAACATTAAACACAAAAAAATAAATAAAACTCATTTTTCCATATCATTTCGGTGTCACTTTGCGAAGTTTAGTAACCAAACTCGACCACATTATAATACACGCCCTTTTTGTTTTACATTTTCCCCCATTTGTATAAGAATCGTGACCGTTGCACATATTTCTAGCCGACATTTTTGACCAAAATGTGTGATAATGGGGCCCAGCAGTTTGAAAAAAACGATCACAAAATTTCTACTAATTGGAAGAAAATGTAGAACAAACAGGGGCATAATGAGTAATCAAATATTTTTGTCAAAGTATAGTAAGTAATCAAAGATACTTTGCTTACGTGAATTGTCCATCTTCTATGATTGAGCATCTAATGGTGACACGCCACTAGTTGTGAAATTCGTTTGTCAAGTTAGTTATTTCGTTGGACACGTGAAACAAAGTGATTTCAATAAGTAACGTTCAATACTTTGAGAAGTTTAGTGGTCAAAACTTTACTCTTAAAAGTGTGTGAGCAATCAAAGACGTCAATCTTAAAAATATTTGATTTAAAAATAAATTTGTTTTAAATAACTTTTACGATATATATATATTCCCTTATTTCCCCCTTCTTCGTATTTTTTGCTATTTTGGTTTATATTTCCTTTTGTTTTGCCTTTTCTTCATTTTATGTTGTTTTATTTTATTTTTTGTTTATTATGTTATAAAGGTTAAGATCGTCATTTCCCATAGATTTATGAATGGAAACGAGACCAAATCTATAAATTATAAACAACAATGTTATATGTCCATCATGGATTACATTAAGGTTTACACTCTCTCGTGTAATTAGATCTACACCATTTATTTTAATCACATCATTAAATCACTATCCAATTTTTTGTCACGTAGGAAGAATGTCAAATACATTGTCAACCAACAATTTATATATATATTTTTATTCATTTATAAAAAGGTTGGCGACACAAAAAGGATATGGATGAGATCACTAACCTTTGATAAAAGTTAGGGACGAAATCTGCAATTTACTCTAAAAATTTATGCTTTACCAAACATGCCCCTAGGCAGGTTGTCGGGTTAACTCGGTGATTTTTTCTTGATTTTGTCTTGAGTTCATGTTTTGAACATCAACCGCCAACACTCCAGCCCGCGCGCAACGCACACATCTGCTTTCCCTGCAATTCAAGGCTCAAAAACTCTTCTTCACGTCCAGCTTGGAAATTCTTCCCTTGATTCCAGTTTCTTCTGAGAAACCCAGCTAAATTTTGGATTCTTGATGTACCTCAGAAAATCAAGCCAAAAATGACACTTTACATGCCACTGTTCAGAGCCTGCAGAACCTCAAGAACACTCATTCAGCTCCACACACACCTCATAGTCACAGGCCTACAAAGGAACCCCCTTGCATCAACTAAGCTCATTGAGTCCTACGCTCAAATGGGCTTCATCAAATCCTCAAAACTAATATTTGACAATTTCCTAAATCCAGATTCCTTCATGTGTGGTGTTCTGATCAAATGCTGTGTGTGGAATGGCCTGTTTCAAGAAGCCATTTTTATGTACCAAAAGATTGTGTATGATATGATCCAATTTAATAGCTTCATTTTGCCATCGATTTTGAGGGCCTGCTCTGCAATTAATGATCTGGGCATGGGGAAAAAGGTCCATTGTAGGATTATAAAATCTGGGATTGAGTCTGATCCCTTTGTTGAGACTTCATTGCTGAGTATGTATGGTGAAATGGGGTGTTTATATAATGCTAGGAAAATATTTGAAGAAATGTCAGTGAGAGATATGGTTTCTTGGAGTTCTATAGTATCTATTTATGTTCAGAATGGGGAGGCTAGTGAAGGGTTGAACATTTTCAAGAAAATGACGACAGAAGGTGTGGAAATTGATTCGGTGACTATGTTTAGTATATCTGAGGCCTGCGGTGAATTGAGGTTATGGAGAGCTGGAAAGTCGGTTCATGGTTTTGTGGTTAGAAGGAATAATGATCATGGGGCATTGGGAAGTTCTCTTGTTGCAATGTATGGAAAATTTGGTGATTTGCGTAGTGCAGAACTGTTGTTTTACAGCCGTATTTGCCAGAGCGTTTCTTTGTGGACAGCGATTATTGCATGCTATAATCAAAATGGATGCTTTCAAAAAGCAGTAACGACATTTATTGAGATGCAAGAGAGTAATGTGGATATGAATACCGTTACGTTGATGAATATTGTTTCTTCTTGTGCCAGGTTGGGATGGCTTAGAGAAGGGAAGTCTATTCATGGATATGTTATTAGGAACAATATTGACCTTGACAGGGATTTTCTCAGGTCACAATTAATAGAGATGTATGCTAATTGTGTAAAGCTAAATTATGCCCATGCGGTCTTTGATATGAATAAAGACAGGCATATTGTATCATGGAATATTCTCATATCAGGCTATGTTCGGGAACAAATGACCAATGAGGCTTTCACACTTTTTGTTCAAATGTTTATTCATGGGATGTTGCCCGATTCATTTGCTTTGGCAAGTGTTCTATCAGCCTGTGGAGATATCGGATTTTCTAAATTTGGACGTCAAGTACATGGTTGTGCTATCAAGACATGCCTTTTGAATGAGTTTGTCCAAAATGCTCTAATTGACATGTACTCTAAATGCGGATTTGTGGATTCGGCCTATCGGGTATTTCTTACCGCCCAACATGAAAGCGTTGTAGCATGGAATTCTATGATGTGTGGATTTTCTCAAAATGGCTACTCTGAAGAAGCTATCAGTCTTTTCGATGAAATGTATGCCAAATGTCTTGAAGTGGACGAAGTAACCTTTTTAAGTGCAATTCAAGCTTGCTCGAATCTAGGATACATAGAGAAAGGGAAATGGATTCACAATAAACTGATTACTTTCGGTGTAACAAAAGATATGTATATGGATACAGCTCTATCTGACATGTACGCTAGATGTGGTGACCTTCAGACAGCTCAAAGAGTTTTCAATAGCATGACAGAACGGAGTACGGTGTCATGGAGTGTTATGATAGCGGGTTATGGGATGCATGGTCACATTGATGCTGCTACCTCACTCTTTAACAAAATGGTAATATCGGGAATAAGACCAAACGATGTTATATTCATGAATATTCTATCGGCTTGCAGTCATGCTGGATATGTTGAAGAAGGGAAGTTTTACTTTAACTCGATGATCAAGGATTTCGATGTCAAGCCCAATTCTGAGCATTATGCATGTTTGGTCGATATGCTGAGTCGAGCAGGTGATCTAAATGGAGCGTATGAAGTCATAAATTCACTGCCATTTCATGCAGATGCTAGCATTTGGGGTGCATTGGTTAATGGATGTAGGATCCATCAGAGAATGGACTTTCTAAAAAGCATCCAAAGAGACCTTGTAAATAAAGATTCAGATGATTCTGGATATTATACACTGTTATCTAATGTATATGCTGAAGGGGGAGAGTGGAATGAATTCAGAACAGTTAGATCAAAGATTAGAAGCATAGGTCTCAAAAAGGTCCATGGGTATAGTTTGATTGAGACTGATAAGAGTTCATAGTGTTTTAAAGAAACCTGAAATCTCTGATGTCTCGTACGATGGTGAATTCATTCTCGAGACTTGTATGATGAGTAGGAGGACTTTTGACAACATTGAGATGTGGAATATCGGTGACATATTTGGTATGCTGGATTGATGAAGGAATATGATTAAAGAAGAATAGATATTGTCTTGTGTAACAATGTCCATTTTGTATACCAATACGCCTCAAGAATGTATAATTTTTTCTTACTTTCTTGGAGTATCTAATTTAATCATATCGTATCTATTGACATCTATGTATATGGATTCTAAAATTAAGCTAAGAGTACAATTGAACTTTACAAACAGAAAAGATTTTTTGTTTCAATTTCATGAGTTTAGTAAATATTATTATTTGTTGATAAGTAAGAAACTATCATGCTCAAAAGAAGAGACGCGTGATAAAAATTGTAGCTTATCTTGTTCAGTTTAACATATTAAACATATTTGATATTAAGGCCCTGTTTGTTTCTGATTCTCAAATCAATTCTCAAATCAATTCTCATTTTCAACCACACATTCTTCAATAAAATAATATTTTCCATCACATCAATACTTTTTTCTTCTTTTTCAACCACACATTTCCCATCATATCACTATTCAAAATCAATTCTTCCCCCAAAAATCCACATCTCATCAATATTTTTTTCTTCTTTTTCAACCACACATTTCCCATCATATCACTATTCAAAATCAATTCTTCCCCCAAAAATCCCTACCAAACAGGCTCTAACATTGTTCATTCTTAATATTTTAGAATCTACAGGCTCGCCTTAATGGTCCTTAAGAATATAGTATTATCCTATGTTGTCTACTTTTCCTTTTGGAAAGCCAAGTATGAGGTGAAAAGACAAAATTTTCTAGTACTATGGAAAAATGTATAATACACGCATCGATCAAATAGTGATGGGGAGTATTGAGTACTAGAAATTTTTTCAAATTACAAATACAAATACTAGAGGGTGATAAGGAAAATTGTATTGCAAAAGATTGAAATTTTCAAGAAAGAAATCTTGATGAACGCCTAGGGATGTGAAATCAGTAGGAAGCAACAATAAAAAAAAAAAAAAAACGTTGTTCCTCAGAATCGATTGCAATCTTGATGAACCCCTAGAGATTTGAAATCAGTAAAACAAATTAATTCCTCGCGATCGATTGCAAGAATCCTTTTTGTACACATCGTTTAGTTCATTGATTGAGATGCTAAGAAATCTAAAGCGACTATAGTAGACTCTGTTACTTTTGAGTCTATATCTATCTCTTCTAACTTGTTCTACAAAATCACATAGCCTCTTTGAATCTAAATATGTTCAAAACACCAAGTTCACACGAATTATGTACGACAATGATAAGAAATGGGACAATAAGCTCACAAAGGTTTGGGCCATTTCCTTGACATGTCAACCTAGCCACAAAGACACCAATCGATTTGAGTACTTCCAGCTGATATAACCTTACTATCTAAAAAGTTCCAAGACAATGAATTGCTATGTAACTGAGTCGAATCTCATGGAACACATTCTTGCACCCCCAGACCTTGTGAGAGAATTAGAGAGAGAGAGAATAAAAAAAGAAGCAATTATAGCTTTTGAAGAAGACAAATGCACAAATTCGAAGCAATGTTGTATATATCCACAAGAAATCAGACATTATTCTGACTAATACGAGTCAGTAAGCCAAAGACAAAATCACGACGAGATTTACAATGCCGAGGAGATACCAGCAGCCAGAATCTCGAAAAGTCACAAAGCAAGCTCCTTCGAGTCTTACTTCCCTCTATAAATCCCGAAACAATAAACGAATGCCTCTTTGCATTATTAAGTTAATGCAGCAGTCGGAAGATTACCAGCAGGGCATCTTTGTCTCCGGGGCCGCCTAGTTGTTTTCCCCCAGCCTGTAAGGCTTCCGTCCTCCAAACGAGCTTCAATATTACTAAGTTGCTGTATCAATGGAATGCTAACTGGGGTTGAAATAGCCGTAGGGGAAGATTCAATCACTGTACGGCGCCTTCCCCGAGCACCACCATATCTTGTGCCATTCCTTCTTGTCAAGCCTGAATTCCAAGAATGGCCTGTGGCTCTCATCAACCCTCCAAATGTCTGGAGGTCCTCAGTCACTTCATGCCTCGAGAGTGAGGTCAAACCAGGAAGGATGTCCCTTTGAAAGTCCCTCCGCTGCCTTCCTCTCCTTGTCTGACCTCTTCGAGTTCTGTTTGAACCAGCACCCATTTCTTCCACTTTTTCTACTTCAGGGACAAAGGGTTTAGGCATGTAGTCTTCTTCTTTTGTCTCTGCTAGTTGCAATGTCATAGCCTCAAACTCGTCAATCTCCTCACAAAGATCATCAAAAGGTGCAGGATCCCCAACTCTTGATTCTTTGCCAGATTTACTGTCAAGTTCGTCTGCATGTGATGACACGACATTGACAAACCAGATGAGCGATTCTGAAAAGGAAGTCTCAGACAGATGGAAAATACCATTGTCCATGTGGATTTGCTGAGAATTTGTTGAGATAGAAAATATTGTTTCTGCAGCATTTCTAAGAACCTCATCCCATATTTTTTCAGGTTTATGTTCTAGTGACTGTAAAGAGGCCTCGTGTTGCATATGTTCTTCGGATGGTGTATTATCATCCTCACAGTCCAAAAGAATAGGGGCTTCCAGATCTATGTCCATTATTATCTTCACACAGTGATTGTTGCTTGCAATAGAGGGTGCTGGTGGATCTTCATCCTCATTAATAGAACAGTTCAGATCAATGTGATGTCTGATACCTGTAGCTTCTCTACACTTTTCCTTCTCTACAATAAGTTCTTCTGCAGTAATTGGCTCATCAGACTCGCAAGCAAGATTAATATCAATCATTCTGTTTTTCCTTTCAACTTTGACCTTTTTCCCTTCAGGAGGGGAATCAAGAGTTGTAGAGTTGGAAACATGGTCTGATGGCTCAATTATCCGAGCATTATGTTCAAAAAAGGTAACCCCAAGAATTTTCTTGATATTCTGAGTCTCACTTATTTCCTTGTTAGCCCCAATCTCGAGATCATCAGGAGTCAACATGACCTTTGGAATGAACATTTGATTAAGATCACTCACTACTTCAGTCTTGTAATTGGAAGAAGCTTGGAGGCAGCCCAAGTCCCCCGTGAGTTTTGATCTCCTAGTATCTGCAACCTCATTTTTATATCCCAGCTTGGGTTTAAGCCAAGGCAAAGGCGTCCGTTGGTTATCAGGCTTTATTTTTCCATCCATGAGATCTCGTAGAGGAACTGCCTCGCTTGATGAGGTCTTCGGAAGTACCTCGTTCAAGTTAATATCTATTGCAGGTTTTAAATCTACACGACTGGAGCCACTCAGAAACTTCTTGAATCCAGGATTAGTCGAATGGTCAGATGCTATATTATTATACCTACTGCTGTTTAGGTAATCAAATCCCGCTGAAGGTAAGTGAACTTGCAGTTCTTTGGATCCTGAGGCAGACCCATGATGAACCCCATTTCGAGTTGTTAACTCATTTCCAGAACTCGCATTCAACCTAGAACTGACATTAACTTGCCACTTGTCTCCAAAAGTTTCCTGGCTCCGTGCATGCGGATGCAAACCTGCAGCTGAACTAAAAGATGGTTGAAATGTGGTCAACTTTTGACCAAAGCTAGTTGTTGGCTTTGTCCAAGACGAGATGGAGTGAAACCATGAATTGGCAACACTGGTGAGATTAACGGACGGGTAAGCCCCACGGGAATGAGAACCCACAAGTGGTTCTAAATGGCTATTATTGGAGTGATCATGATTTTTATGAGACGATTGTAAACCACAGTTGGGTCCATCTCTCCACAGACCTTCCCTACTATAACCAGGTGGATATATTCCCGGACGATGGTAAACCTGGTTGGGCATGACCTGAGCTGACTGGCAAGATATTGGCAATTTATTTTCTTGGAAACCTTGAGTTACAGAACTTGGGTTACATTTACTGGCCCCTGTAGAAAAATAGGAAGTTTATAAAACTGTCAGATCAAAGAGAGCTGTTATTACACTGTAGTCACAATTCTCAGTGCTTAATCATCAAAACTTGAGCGCAGTGATGGTCTCTAAGTGGTTGTCGTGTACAGAGAGTGGACACAATTAGGATTTCAATAATCTCTAAGCAGTTAACATGAAAAAACTGATTCAAAATGAAATTTGATTCTACACAAAGCATAAAATTTAACCGGCATACACTTGTAGCAGAGATAGATTAGTAGTGGAGGAAACTCAGGAAAGTAATGAATAAATTAGCCTCAAGGAACTTTACCAAAACTCTTTACCTGTTTCATACATATGGGAGAGCCTCCCCCTTTCGTTGCCATTACTCTCGATAGATGAATTTATCAATGATCCATTGTGGGAATAGATGGTTTCTCCTGGGACACCTAAAACTTGTGCATTTCCTTTAGCAAACTGATTTATACCTTTAGTCTCTCCATGGCTGGAAGTATGACCAACAAAACCAACAGATGATGGAGCTGTTACTTCTTCAATTTGAATGGGTTCGTTAAGATCAGCCAATCCACCAGATCCCCTTAAACGGGAACCTGAAGCTGAAACATCTCTATAGAAATCAGTTGTCCCGCCATCACCAAATGAAATTTTCATACTGCTCCAAGGTTCTATTTTTTGATCTCCAACAGTATAACTCAACACACCGGATACTTTGTGGTCTGGTAACTGTTCCCCTTCTTCTGTATGAATGTACTCATCGGCCGGAAGTTCAAGATCAAACAACTTCTTCCTCACCTTGGAGGGTCTTGAATCCAATGCATCAGAGTCCTTAGTAGTACACCTGTCTTGGAACTGAAAAGGACCAGCCCGTGTGTCATTCCCTTTAGTACAGCTTAGAGGAGAATTAACAATTTCAAATCCCGACACTGATGTTCTACCACAACCAGAATTCAACAAAGGAATGCCGGACATATGCCAATTTTGAGCATCTTTCGATGGCATCTGAGATTTGTGAAGACTTGATGAAGATGATGGTCCAATGGATGCCCGATGTTTGTGTAGTTCCTTTCTTTTGAATTCTTCCATCATATCCCTCTGAATTCTGTAAAGCCGGTGGAGCTCGTGAACCTGGACAAAAGTGAAGATTCAAATAATCAAGCGTCTGTGACATCATTGGTTCATTAAAGCATAAAAGGGACTCCATTTTACATACTAAGAGCATGTTTGACTAAGCTTCAAAATAAATAACATTAGTCTTAAGTAAATACTTTTATCTCCAAACATGTTGAAGCCTCTTACCTTTTTTGAAATTAACTCTTCGCAAAACAAATAACTTGCTTACTTTCACAATAAATAAATTTACTTATAAATAAACTTTTTAACCTGAGCCAAACATGTGAACTGGGAACTTCATAAAAGTTCTGAACGACATGGATTTCTTAGGGTGAGAGACATGACAGCAAAATTATAATAAAGTACCTGATTCTTGAAGATTGTCTCATGCTCAAGCATTTTCTGCTTTAATGCATCCTTATCATGCCCTAGACATCTATCTGTTATAGTCCTAGGCATGAAACCATTGTAATATTGACCACTTGTTAAGTTCTCGTCCCCATAAAATAGGGGCCAGCTACTACTGCTAGAATCCTCGTTAAGGTCCCTCATGGAGTAATATCCCGGCAAGTAGCTTTTGCTATGCACTTTTTTCCATCCTGCAGAGAAGATTTGAATGGTAAAATAATTCTGTACAGAAGCAACTGGACATAAAACTCTTTTCTTTCACTTACGTATTAAGTAAAATCACTAGCAGGTAATAAGATGTTCTACTACTAAGCATAACAATGCAAGTTTCAATATTAATGAAAACAACAAAGGAATCTCGATTATTGACAAGAGAAAAATCTAACAAATGATATTAATATCAAGTTGTGATAATATATAAAATTCACTTATCTCTGACTACCAAGAGCTAGGAACCATTTATCATGCAGCACTAATAGATAGAATAAGGCATGTTATTATCACCTTGTTTCATAAACCATAGCATTTAAACAGCAGTACCACCAAAGTATACTGAGGACAGTATAAATACAAATAGAGAAGCCAAAATTTCTAACACCAGAATTGATCTAGAATATATAAAAACCATATTTTCTTACTACCATGTGCTACGAACCATTTATCACTAAAAGATAGGATAAGCCATGTTATTATCACCTTGTTCCATAAACCATAGCATTTAAACAGCAGTATGACCAACGCATACTGAGGACGGAAAACACAAATAGATAAACCATAATTCTAACATCAGAATTGACCTAAAATTCGAATATGAAGCAAAATGTTTTTCACCACAAGTTTGGCAAAGTTTTCTGCGAAAAAACCCACACCCACCACAGCCTGAACAAGAAAACATATCCCAAAAAAGATTGTCTTTCACATCAAATTATGCTAGTACATGATCGTTATTTTCATAATTTACATGTTGCGCATAATATAAGAAAAAAATTGGAAGGAGTTGGCTTCCATCATTTAACAATGCTATGTAACTCGAAAACAAGTTTTTTAGCATATGTGACACTACTACATTTTAGGTAATAAATCTAGCAACTTAAATAGACCTCGAATAACATAATTGACATTGTGCCTTTACACTGAAACTTTCAGTTGAACATTGCCCTGTTCTTCTTCACTTCAGTTCTACCTTTTCTTCAAAGGCTTGAAAGAATAATTCATATTTGTCAAATTCAAGATCATATAATACATTTCCTTTATTAGTACAATGAACTAAAATGGATGAGCTTTAGATATGAACTATAGATCTAACTTGATAAAAGAAATTAAATGATGAGTTCAAAATAAATAATCTAAAATAAAATATTTTCTATCTACTGAGATTCAACAGTAGTTGCTGAATTATCTCCAACTAACACACGACGTTAAAACGTTGCATGGAAGTCTTGGCAACATTATGCCAAGCTATTGAATAGAAAACAAAGACAATCTGGCATGCAACTAAGCATACAGAGAAGAAAAAAGTATATGGTTTTCTAACAAAAAAAGGATAGCCTCAAACAATTATCAAGAAATTCAATGAACCAGAAAATCACAAAAAACCAATCCACCTCTTCATTGAAAGATGTGTGTCTTCTTGGGGGAGAATAGCAGGTCCTTTACGGACACGGACCTCTGAGTTCACCGATAACTAGTAAAAAGAAATCCAAGCACTCCCTTGACTGATTGAGGAAAAAGTAAAGAACACGGCTCAATTTCTCTCCAAAAACAGAATAGTTTTTCTTCAATGATGGAACAAAAGATGGCGGAGACTTTAGTTTTTATTGTACACGGCTGGTGGGTATGTGAAACAATATCTACTGGAGCTTTTTTATTTATATACAAGGTCAGAGTTAAGTGTGAGTAAGCAAATGACAAAATCAGTTAGTGGCATTCGAATCATTTAAAAAATATAGATAATAATGCGTTGAATATTTCGTAAACCGAATGGATTATACACATCCAGCTTATATTGTCAAAATCCAACAACCACTACAATAAATGTTACTTTAGATTACGAACAGATACGAGATACAAAAGTCACACACATGTATGCTATAGCACGTGTCTAAGAAAACTAAAATGGGTTTCAACTTTTTATCTCATGACAAAAGTAATCCAACACATTTCATAATTTCTCGTAAGCCGCCCCCAACCAACAATCTTACACTCTATAATACAGGTCATCAATTTTACATTGGCAAATGAATTGAATAAAAGTAGAATGAGCACATTATTACAGAAACCTCACATCGAGTGTTATTATCTTCATCGTCACCTAATTTTCTGGCTTTTAAATAATCAAGAAAAGAGCCTGTAGCTCATAAATTTCATTGCAAAACCACAGTTCAAATGTAGCAGGGAGAACCAGAGGAACTGAACTTGTTTATCTAGTTGAGAATGCTCCATTAAGGTGATAAAACCTAGACATATAAAATGGTACGCAAATGCTCTTCTACTACTAGAAAAGGATGGCTTAGAGCCTATGAAATTCACGACAACATAACCTACAGATCAAATGGATGGAATGTAGCATGCTTTGACAATGATATATGGGATTTTAATTTAGGAAACTTAATCTATCCCCCAATCAAATTTAGTTTAAATTATTGTAGCTGACTCTAACGCACTTGGACTAATACAATTACAGTCGAAAAATACAGTGAATTTAAGATATGCTACCCAGAAGCAAATAACCAACAAGACATAAGGAAAAATATTGCACCACAAAACAAAAGTCAAGTGCGTCCTAAGTAGAAATGATCACTCATCAAATTTTCGTTTACAGTTACGATTTTATCTATTGAAGAACAGAGAAAAACGCAAAAAATATGAGACTTTTTAACAAAGAAAGTGCATAGATATAATTATCCAAGCCATTAGAACTAATCATCTGAAAAACTCAAAACAATTATAATTCATTAATTCATATAATCAGACAATTACTCATAAGGAAAACTAAAAGGAAAAGACAAGAATTTTCATCTCCTGGGTCATAGTCAAAACCCAATAAAATCTTGAAATAAAAAAATCAGAAAATGAATCAAAAGATAAATTTACCTCAGACCCACATCCTTGAATCAGTGTTCAAGAACCCCTTGTAGATTGAATCATCCCACAGCATCAATAATAACTCAAAATAATGTGAAATTCAAAGTCTTTCACACTATAGCACTAGTGAAAATGAAAACCAATAAAAAGAAACGAAAAAATAAAACTTTAAAATCAATAATAGTAATACTCAAATAAAATAAAAGAATTATAAAGTGAATGGCTTGAAAACTCCATTGAAGAAGCTCGGATCCTCCTCAAACTGAACAAAATATTGAAGATTTCGATCTGCTGGGGCCAATTTCTCTCTCTCTCTCTATTAATAGCGAAAAAAGAAAGCAACTACTTTTAGAGAGAATGAAAGAAAAAAGAAATAAATTCTTTTTCAACTGTATGTATATTAGTGCTTGTATAATAGAATTATAATTTATTCAAGAAAATGAGAAATGGAGAGAGATCCCATATAAGAAATCTCCACAAAAACAAATGACCTTCTAAGAACAATGACAGGAAATTTGTCAACATGCGGTCCTTTATATTCTTTGCCTTTTCTCTATACTCTCTCTCACTCTACCCTCCTCATTCTCTCACTCTGTATCTCTATATCTCTTACAGTCCCTATGATTTGTTTTAGCTATATAGCCCAAGCTCCATTTTTATAAAAACTCTTTTTTTCTACGTTTATTTTCAACCACACATTCTCTTATAAAATAATTTTATAAATAAATTGAAAAAAAAAAATCTAATTTTTTAACCACATATTTTTTCAATTTTATACTATTCAAATATATTTTCTTGAAAAAATGAAACTCAAACAAGGACATAAGGGGACTTTAGACAAAGCTTTAATAAAAGTTTTAACAATTTTGATGAAGGGTAGTATTGAAAAGTCGATAAAAATTATGAATTTTATGAAATGTATAGTTAAAATTGAAGTTTGACCCATCTAATCGTTAATATATTTTATCAAACAAGGGCTAAGGCCTATTTGATATAAGTTTTTTTTTTTTGGAATATATTTTATGAAATTTTTAGAGAAGGGTCAAAAACTATAAAAAAAATAATAAGTTTGCGCGTAAAATTATTTTATTAAAAAATATATAATTTAAAATAAGTTCGAAAAAAATGAACGTTAAAATTTAAAATTATTTTATGAAATTTGATGATTTTACATATGTTTATATGTAAATCCATTCCTTACTGTCACATTGTTAAATAATATTAGATCGTTCATTAAACTCATGAAGTGTTAAACAAGACTAATGAGTATGATAAACAAAACTTCGACTATTATCTAATCATTCATTACCGGACGTGTAATAAACGATATTAGGTCATCCAGTCATTTTTGTCCACATTTCATGCACAAAAATAAACGAGATGAGACCAGACAGAATAATAAGCAGAGTAACAATTACTTTATTTCTTTAATATTGTACAACAAACACGTCGTCTGATTCTTATTTAATCGAACGTGTAATGTTAATGCATAATTGTACCAAAGTATACTTTTGAGTTGTTAACATCAAACACAACCAAATGGACAATCCCATAAAATAGTTGTTTATTTTCTCAATCTAGGAATTATTATTTAATTAAGACTTAAGAGGGAGACTTAAAAGTTTTGCTATTCCAAGCAGTTTTCTATTGACCCATACATTCAGAAAAAAAAGGGTGTGGGTCCCAATATTGATGCTGTGCTTCTAATAGGGTTGAGGATTATGTAACTGCCCTTATTGGTTAGCTTTAATTACGGAAATGGGACTGACGGTCATGATGGAATCTGATTGGCTGATGCTCTGATTTCTTACAGAGAAAGTCTAATTGTTGTCTGCAGGTCTGGATTCTGTACTAGGATAAGCAGTAGAATCTTTACACGTGGCTTTCTTTCGAAGACCCCATACATTTCATGCTTCTTGATTATGCCTAAATTTTTATATTGAAATCTCAACTTTTAATTTTGGCATATAATTAGCAATGTTTTAAAAACTGAATATTAATTTTCAAAAAACTAAGCTAATGTTTGGTGGTCATTCTTTTGGAAAAATATTATTTTGAAT